ATGAGGAGGGAAAGAAGAGGAGGGTGAGGAGCATGACGAAGGTGAGGAGCAACACCTTACTCACAAAACTAGGTGTGGAGCGGCGTTCACATTTAGTTTTGCGAGTAATGTCTCTTATCAAGAGGCTGCTCGCAAAACTGGTTGCGGAGCTGCGTTCGCAACTAGATTTGTGAGCGACGCCATGAAGCGGAGAGGTGGGGTTGAGTGAAGAAAAGAAGGAGGAGGAAGGATGGGGAGGAGCAGGAGGAGTAGGAGGAAGAAGAGGAGGGTGAGGAGCATGACGAGGGTGAGGAGGAAGACATCACTCACAAAACTAGGTGTGGAGCGGCGTTCACAGCTAGTTTTGCGAGTAATGTTTCGTAGCAGGAGGCTGCTCGCAGAACTGATTGGGGAGCTGCGTTCACAACTAGATTTGTGGGTGACGCCACGAAGCGGAGAGGTGGGGTAAAGTGAAGAACAGAAGGAGGAGGGGGGAGGAGCAGCAGGAGTAGGAGGAGGAAGAAGAGGAGGGTGAAGAGCATGACGAAGGTGAGGAGCAACACCTTACTCACAAAACTAGGTGTGGAGCGGCGTTCACAGCTAGTTTTGCGAGTAATGTTTCGTAGCAGGAGGCTGCTCGCAGAACTGATTGGGGAGCTGCGTTCACAACTAGATTTGCGAGTGACGCCACGAAGCGGGGAGGTGGGGGTAAAGTGAAGAAAAGAAGGAGGAGGGGGGAGGAGCAGGAGGAGTAGGAGGAGGAAGAAGAGGAGGGTGAGGAGCATGACGAAGGTGAGGAGCAACACCTTACTCACAAAACTAGGTGTGGAGCGGCGTTCACAGCTAGTTTTGCGAGTAATGTTTCGTAGCAGGAGGCTGCTCGCAGAACTGATTGGGGAGCTGCGTTCACAACTAGATTTGCGAGTGACGCCACGAAGCGGGGAGGTGGGGGTAGAGTGAAGAAACGAAGGAGGAGGAAGGGGGGAGGAGCAGGAGGAGTAGGAGGAGGAAGAAGAGGAGGGTGAGGAGCATGACGAAGGTGAGGAGCAACACCTTACTCACAAAACTAGGTGTGGAGCGGCGTTCACATTTAGTTTTGCGAGTAATGTCTCTTATCAAGAGGCTGCTCGCAAAACTGGTTGCGGAGCTGCGTTCGCAACTAGATTTGTGAGTGACGCCATGAAGCGGAGAGGTGGGGTTGAGTGAAGAAAAGAAGGAGGAGGAAGGATGGGGAGGAGCAGGAGGAGTAGGAGGAGGAAGAAGAGGAGGGTGAGGAGCATGACGAGGGTGAGGAGGAAGACATCACTCACAAAACTAGGTGTGGAGCGGCGTTCACAGCTAGTTTTGCGAGTAATGTTTCGTAGCAGGAGGCTGCTCGCAGAACTGATTGGGGAACTGCGTTCACAACTGACGGGTGGCAGCCGAGGGCCAACGCTGCCCTGTTGAAGCTAGACGATTTGATTATCATCCTCCTGCTCTTGAAAAAATACCGTTTACCAGATTTTCCAGATTTCCAAGATCTTCCCAGAGATGGCCCTGGTGAACAACGCTGTGTGTTCCTGATATTCCTGACCTTCCCAAGGATTACCCCTGAGAAAACGCTGCGTTTTCCCGATATTCCTGATATTCCTGACATTTCCAGGGGCTACCCAGGCGCCGAGGCCTCCTGGGGCTGCCGAAACATTGCCCTGGTGGAAAACGCTGTGTTTTCCTGATATTCCTGACCTTCCCAGGGATTACCCATGAGAAAACGCTGTGTTTTCCTGATATCCCTGATATTCCTGACATTTCTAGAGACTACCCTGCAGGCTCACGGTAGTCTCTGGAAATGTCAAGAATATCAGGAATATCAGGAAACACAGCGTTTTCTCAGGGGTGATCCCTGGGAAGGTCAGGAATATCAGGAAACACAGCGTTTTTCACCAGGGCAATGTTTCGGCAGCCCCAGGAGGCCTCGGCGCCTGGGTAGTCTCTGGAAATGTCAGGAACATCAGGAATATCAGGAAAACACAGCGTTTTCTCATGGGTAACCCCTGGGAAGGTCAGGGATATCAGGAAAACACAGCGTTGTTCACCAGGGCAATGTTTCGGCAGCCCCAGGAGGCCTCGGCGCCTGGGTAGTCTCTGGAAATGTCAGGAATATCAAGAATATCACGAAAACACAGCGTTTTCTCAGGGGTAAGCCCTGGGAAGGTCAGGAACATCAGGAAAACACAGCGTTTTTCACCAGGGCAGTGTTTCGGCAGCCCCAGGAGGCTTCGGGAAGCCCCTGGAAGCGTTTCGGAAGACTCGGGAAGGCCAGGAGGCCTCAGGAAGCCCCAGGAAGCCCCAGGCCCTCCCCCCCCAGGGCGCGCGAGGAAGAGGAATAGCAAAAAAAGAAATATGTATGATCATGTGGGGGGGGCTACCATATATATATATATATATATAGAGAGAGAGAGAGAAACAAAAACAAATGCATTGGCGTTGCGCGCCATGCACCTTGGTCCTTCGAGTTCCGCACGCAAGCGGAATGCGTGCGTGCGTAAATGTGCGCATGCATGTATACACTCGCGCGCATGCACGTTCCGTAGCTATGTCTAGGTGTATACAATAGACGTTCATTGTTGTATGTGTATGCACAGTACATATGCACAAATGAATATATGTGTAATGGTATGAACATGCATATGCAACTCGTACGTATCCTGTCGGCGCACGCCCATATGCACATATATAAATATATAGGTATGTATGTGTAAATGTATTTGTATATGTATGTGCATAAGTATATATATATATATGTATATGTAAATGTATATGTATATGTATATGAATATGTATGTACATGTGTATGTGTATGTGTATGTGTATTTGTATATGTATATGTATATGTATGTGTATATGTATATGTAAATGTATGTGTACATGTATATGTATAAGTATGTGTATGTATGTGTGTATGTATGTGTGTGTGGATGTATGTATGTATGTATGTGTGGATGTATATAACTATGGGTTCGCATACACATGCATATCTTAGATGGTAGTGGCTTGACCAGTTGCTCAGGGCATCTCGCAACTGAAAAGTTCGAGGGTCTCAGGCGAACATGGCCAGATTACCATGGGACAATGCATCGCCGGGTTCAGTGTGCGAGGATGTCTCAAGCGAAAATGGCCTGAACACTTCCGCTCAGGACAGACCGGAGCTCAGTGACGCGAGGATGTCTCCAGCGAAAGTGGCGGAATACCATGGGGCAGGGCATTTCGGAACCCAGAGCTGCGAGAACGTTTCTAGCGAAAGTGCCCCGAACACCTCAGCTCAAGGAGCCCTGGAACGTAGAAGTGCGAGAAAGTCTCAAAGCGGAAGTGGCTGGACCACCTTGGGGCAGGGCTTCTCCGAGCTCAGAGTCCGGAGGAGGTCTCAGGCCAGTGGTCTGATTTCCTCAGCTCAGCCCTGCGAGGAAGTCTCAAGCGAAGAGTGGTCTCAACACCTCAGCTCAGGGCATCCCGAAATCCAGACTTGCGAAAAGTCGCAGGCGAAAGTAGGCTAACCACCATGGTGCAGGGCACCTCCGAAGACGTCAGACTTGCGAGACTGTCTCAGGCGAACTTAGCCTGAACACCTGAGGCCAAGGCGTCTCGGACTCCAGAGTTGCGAGGATGTCTCAAGCGAAAATGGCGGGATCACTGCGAGGCAAAGCGTTTCCGAGGTGAGAGTTGTGAGCATACCCGGGCGAAGCGGATCTCACGACTCCTCTTCCTCCTCCCCCTCCTCGTTTTCTGTCTGGATGATACTCGCCAGTCGTCCTCCGCACTCCCCTTGCGTATAATTCCCTCTTCCTGTTTCTTCATTTTCTTATTCGCGTTCTCCTGGTCCACATCCTCTTCCTCCTCCTCCTCTCCTCCTCATCCTCCTCCTGAGTAGCCGGCCGGGCCCGGCCGAGCAAAGCCGGCGGGCTGGCCGAAACGGGGACGACGACGATAACGACGACGATTACGACAACGAACGACGACGACGACGACGACGTGTGGACGGCTGGCGCCCTCCCGGGGCGCCCCTCCCGGCCACGAGGACGACGATGACGACGACGACGACGACGACGACGACGACGACGACGACGACGACGACGACGGCAGCGACGGCGACGACGACGACGACGACGACGTCGATATTGCAGCAGTCGACGAGCTATTTGGGGCAATATTGTGGGGGGCATCCTCGGGCATCTTCGCTGCATGCCAAAAACTTCAACGACTGGGTCACAATGTGGAATGCCATGAGAGCAAAATCAATGAATGCTGGCATTCGGAAACATCGTGGGGGTGTTTTCGGGGCCCTCGTGGGCTGCTTTGGCGCCTTCATGGGCCGTCCTGGGGCCTTCTTGGGCCGTCTTGGGGAGCTTGGGCCCGCTGGAGCCCCCTTTGGACCCATCTTGAGCACTTCCGGGGACCTTTGGGTCTGTGGTGGGAGCCCTTGGGGGGCCTCTTGGGTCCATCATGGGCTGTCTTGGTGGGGCCCGGCTCGGCCGTCTTGAAGCATTCTTGGGGGCCTTTGGGGGCGTCTTGAGGCGATCGCGGGGGCTTTGAAGCCGTCTTGAAAGCTGATGAAATCCGAAAGGCGAATATGCTAAAAACATAAGTTTTACGGAGGGAATGGGGCGTTTTTTGTGTTTTGAAGGCCCCTTGGAAGGCTTTTTGGGGTGCCTTGGGGGTCTTTTGGGCAGTCCAGCAGCAATTGGAGTCCCTCTTGGAGCGCTCTTGTGCTGTCTGGGGCCTCCCTTAAGCCTTTCCGATGACCCTTCTGATCGCTCTGGGTCTGCTGGCAAGGCGTTTGTGGAGACCCGGAAAGCCGGGTGACCTTTTCCAAGGACGTCCAAGGGAGCCCGAGAACCCCAGGTCCCCGGGATCCAGTTTTGGGGGGGGGGGGGGGGGGGGATGGTTTTTCCCCCCCCCCGGGCTTGTAAAAATATAGGAAGAGGAATACGCGCGTATATATGTGTTTCTCTCTCCTGCTCTGTTACTCCCATCCCCGCGCCGGCCTCGGCAAGCTGACGAACGGGTCGAAGGTGACGCTCGCCTGGCGCAGCTCGCGCCTCAGCCGCGGCTGCTCGTCCGCCATCCTCTCGAGGCCGATGCAGACCTCCGCCTCCGGCTCGGGGGCTGGCGTCCTTCGAGGCCTCCCAGTCTGGGCGATCGGCGTTTTATCCATGCTCCTGCTCGCGCTCCGACCCCACGAGGGGCCAAAGCGGCGGCATGGATGAAAGTCTGGCTTCCCGTGCCGCGATGATTATCCGCGCCTTGCTCCCCCTGGCGCTCGGAGTGGGGGGGGGAGCAGCAGGAGCATGGATCGAGCATCGATCGTCGACAGAGGAGGCCAGGCCTTGCCGACCTCCACTCCCGGGAGTCCGAAAAGCGCCTGGGGACAGACCGTGGGGGGGAGGAGGAGGAGGAGGAGGAGGAGGAGGAGGAGGAGGAGGAGGAGGAGGAGGAGGAGGAGGAGGAGGAGGAGGAGGAGGAGGAGGAGGAGGAGGAGGAGGAGGAGGAGGAGGAGGAGGAGGAGGAGGAGGAGGAGGAGGAGGAGGAGGAGGAGGAGGAGGAAGAGGAGGAGGAGGAGGAGGAGGAGGAGGCGGAGGCGGAGGAGCAGGAGGAGCAGGAGGAGGACCAGTTGGAATACACCCTCCATCCAAGCTCACTCTTCGTAGGCCCCTAGCTTTATTTCTATTGAGGGGTCTGCCTCGTTGGAAGACAACCGCTTGAAGACCCCAGAGCATGCCAAAACATTATGCTCGGGAATCCAACGCCACGGATCAACCTGATTGTTGCGTCTTGACGATCCTGGATCGTGCCAGAACGCAACTCTTGGGATTTCAACACCGCGAATCAACGTAACTGTTGCACCCGCAAAAACCTGAATCCGTCCAAGACACCATTTCTGGTACGTTGATCGTGGGAATCCGTGAATAGATTGCAAATGTTATGAGCGAATGTGCGCGACGCTAAAGCGAGAGCCATATGTTGAAAAGGAGCCACCCTCAATACGTGAAGCTCTTGCAACAAATTTTAGAACGCGGCGCTAAGGCGAGAACCACATTTTGAAAACGGGTTATCCTCAATCCGTGAAGCTCTTGCAATTTTAAGAACGAATGTGCGCGGCGCGATTGCGAGAGCCACATTCTGAAAAGGGGTTCTCCTCAATCCGTGAGTTAAATTTTGAGAACAAATGTGTGCGGCGCTAAGGCGAGAGCCACATATTTAAAACGACCCGCCTTCCACCTGTGAAGCCGTTGCCAATGGTTAAGCTCAGAGCCATTGATGGCGAGGAAGTCTCAGGCGAAACGCCCCGCCCGCCCTAAAAACTGGCCCTGGGGTGCGACAGGGAATGGTTATTTATAGGGTAAAATGAATGGAGGAGGAAGAGGAGGTCGATCAGGGACCCCGGAATCCCAGAAGACCTCACAACACGGTCCGTCGCCGCACCGTGCTTTGAAACCTTGGAGGCCCCAAGCACCCGAGGCGCCCTCGGAGCACCACCCACGCCCCAAAGCCGTGCGGCCACCCCCAAGGTCACGACACCATCTCTGGACTTCCGACCCTCGTGGAGGACGCCAAAGTGGGGCTGGAATAGATGGGGATCGAGGATCGAGGGTCCAGGTTCGAGGCTCCAGGTTCAAGGATCGAGGATCAGGGGTTTGGAATGCTCTGGACCTCTGGGTACTTCGGGAAACCTCTGGACGCCTCTGGGGACCTCCAGAGACCCACAGAGCAGATGGGGCCAGAGGATCGCACCGCATCGTCGATGCCAGCTCGGGATGGGATGGGGAAATCGGGTGCCAGCTCGCGCAGCATCGCCGCTGCACCGTCGATGCGGAGCGACCCTCCGACCTTGTCCTCTCGAGGAGGCCCCGAGTCGTCCTCGCAGCGGGCGCTGCCCCCGCCCGCGGCTTGGTCATGCTCTTCGGGAGGACGCAGACCTTGTCGAAGATGCTGCAAAAGTCCTCCCAGGTCATCCAGAACATGCCGTTGTTGGCCGGGCAGTAGCCCACCTTGGGAGACCCCGCCTTCACTGCCGACCAGATGGCCCCCTTCCGCTGCCCCGTCCTCTGTCGCCCTCCACGGAGTGGGGGTGGCGCCGAGCCGAAAAGCCATATGCCCATCTGCAATCATCAGAGTGAGGCTGCCGAGCGGTCACTCGGTGTCCCTGGGCGCGTGGCTGAAAAGGGGACCCGTGGTAAGGGTTCTGCTTGTTGCGTTGTTGCGTTGCTGGGCTCTTGAGTGCTGAGTACTGAACAATTATTAGTGTTGGGCCCCTTACAGGCGCCCTGGCGCTCTCGCCGAGGCGCCGGCTGCGTTTTCATTGAAGATGGGACCGCCAAAACAAGCCCCCCAACAACAACAACAACAACAACAACAGCAGCAACATCAACAACAACAACAACAACAACAACAACAACAACAACAACAACAACAACAACAACAACAACAACAACAACAACAACAACGCTCCCGTTCGAGACGTCCTCCATTGTTGCTCAGGGCTGGTGCTCTTGCTCGCCACCGAAAGCAGCCGTTTCAACACAACCAGCGTTCCCGCTCGAGATTTCCTCCCATTTTACCTTGGACAGGCGCGCTACTCTTTCTCTCATCGGCGCCGCCCCCCAGCAACAACAACGCTCCCGCTCGAGACGTTTTCCCTTCTTACTCAAGGCGGTGCTCTTGCTCGCCGCCGACAGCCGCCGTCCCGACAAAACCAGCGCTCCCGCCCGACACGTCCTCCCGTTTTACGGTGGGTGCTCTCTTTTGAATTGGCGCCGCTCCCAGCAAGATCAACGCTCCCGCTCGAAACTTCCTCCCTTTTTACTCAAGGCGGTGTTCCTCCTCGCCGCCGACAACCGCCGTCCCAACAAAACCAGCGTTCCCGCTCGAGACTTCGTTTTGTTTTACGCTGGACTAGCGCCCTAGTCTCTTCAGCATCGGCGCCGCTCCCAGCACCAACAACGGCCCTGCTCGAGACATCCTCCCTTTCTATTCAGGGCCAGGTCCTTGCCTCGCTGCCCACAGCCCCCATCCCCACCGAGGCAATCCTGTCGCTCGATACTTCCTTGCGTTTTACCCTTAGTTGGGGCTCCACTGGCGGTCTCGCATCGACACAGCAAAGCGCAAGTATGCGTTTTCGAGGCGGTATATGTTGAAATTCCTCGGAGGAAATTTTTACAAAACCTCATTGGGCGGAAAACCGGGGAATGGGAATAACGGACCCACTATAAAACAACAGTTCCCCTTATGATGGGGATGGTTATCATGATGGCCGCATGCTTCGTATGGAAACATCGCGCATAAGGGTAAAGTGATTATTGCTGCTGCTGTTGTTATTGTTGTTGCTGTGGTTGTTGTTGTGTTGTTGTTGTCGTCGTCGTTGTTGTTGTTGTTGAGATCTCTTTTCTGAAAATAATGATTGCTGATCCCCCTCACCGGTGCATGCTGCGTTTTCTCAATCAAAGTGTGCCCTTCGACGTTCCCACCCTGTTTTTTGTCAGGGCAAGCGCCGCGCTCCCAACACTCAGGCACCCAGGAGTCGCGCTCACGCTTAGGACTCCCCCACAGATTATTTAGGAAACGGGATCTCGCTGCCTTCAGCGGCCCCGTCCTTCCCCTCCGCGGCCCAATATACGTATGCCCTTCGTAGCCTCCACTGTCGCCGTTCGTGGCCCCCTCGCTGTCCTACGTGGCCCCGTTGCTACCCTCAGTGGCCCCGTCTTTGCCTTCGGTGGCCCCGCATTATCTGCCCTTCGTGGCCCCCGCTCGTTCGCGCTCTTCGTGGCCCCATACGCATTCCCTTCGTGTTCCCGCTGTCGCCTTTCGTGGCCTACTTCGTGACCTTGGTGGCCTCGCTGCCGTTCTCTCGCTCGCTCTCGCTTTCGCTCGTCGTCGTCGTCGTCGCCGTTGTCGTCGTCGTCGTCGACGTCGTCGTCGTCGACGTCGTCGTCGTCGTGGTCGGTCCCCTGTCCGTCCCTCTTGGGGTCGGGTTGCCGCCGATCAGCGCTGCCGCTGGCCAGGCCGACGGTCCGCGGCCGCCCCGCCGCTTGCCGGGGCCTGGCCTGCAGGTAAGTAAGGCTTACCCCCAAAAAGGGTACGATCGAAGACGAACAGGGCGGGTATCGAGGGTTTGGGAAATACGCGTTAACGGACACTCGAGCAGATAAGAGCGAACAGTCACAAAATGATTGTTGCTGTTGCTGTTGTTGGTGTTGTTGTTGTGGTTGTGGTTGTGGTTGTGGTTGTGGTTGTGGTTGTGGTTGTGGTTGTGGTTGTGGTTTTTGTTGTTGGTGTTGTTGTCGTTGGTGTTGTTGTTGTTGTTGTTGCTGTTGTTGTTGCTGTTGTTGTTGTCGTTGTTGCTGTTGCTGTGGTTGTTGTTGTTATTGTTGGTGGTGTTGGTGGTAGTGTTGTTGCTGTTGTTGGTGGTGGTGTTGGTGTTGGTGTTGTTGTTGTTGCTGATGTTGTTGTTAATGTTGTTGTTACTGCTGCTGCTGTTGTTGTTGATGCTGTTGTTATTGTTGTTGCCGTTGTTGTTGTTGTTGTTGTTGGTGTTGTTGTTGTTGTTGTTGTTGTTGTTGTTGTTGTTGTTGTTGTTGTTGTTGTTGTTGTTGTTGAATATTATTACTTCTAAAGAAATATTATTGTTGAGACCCCTGGTGCGCGACCCCCCTCCAAAACCTAGGCCGCAGCCTCATTTCCTTCATTTTCTAGCGAAAGCTTCAGAAAAGTGGATTGTCACCGGATCCGGTTGTTTTGTTGTAATCCGTTTTCCCTTGCAAAAAACACTATAAAATGAAAATTCTTGTTCTTACTTGATCAAATTTCAAGAATCCCTTGCAAAAAATAAGGTAAAGTGGACATTCGTGCGCGCAAGACGAAATCCTTCCAAAACCTTAGGTTTCGTAGCGATTTTAACATAAAAACATCAAAAAACCAATGGTTTTTTAAGAAAAAATTGTCAAAATCTCTTCCCGCGCGCTCTTGCGGATTCGTAGGAAAACCAACACTTTTTAAACATTCTGTCAAACGGGCTTTTGCGAGCAACTTTTTCGAACTTCTGCGACAACGGTTGCGCACCTGCCAGGGCCATCATCCCTGTCAAATAATACCATGCGGGACACATTCGTCTCTCGTATTATGTATTGTATGGCACAATTGCACCATGCTGGGCACATGCGCGCCCCGAATAAGTGACCAAGTTCTGTGGGTGTGTACCCCACGCCAGTGTAGTAGCCACGGTCGTCCGCACGCCACGAAGTGAAGTGTCCCAACGTCATAGGGCGGGAAGCTGGGTTTGGGTGGTCGCGAAGAGTCGTTTGGATATTTGGTAGAGCTTGTAATGCCCCCCCACGAAGTGGGGGTATTGCCTGGTGTCGTATGAAAACCCTGGCACTGGGGAGAACACCACGCGTTCGGGTAAAATGATTGTTGTTGTTGTTGTTGTTGTTGTTGTTGTTGTTGTTGTTGTTGTTGTTGTTGTTGTTGTTGTTGTTGTTTGTTGTCGTCGTCCCACCCACGACCCACCCCGCGACACACCCCGCGACACACATCCCGACCCACCCGCGACCCCACCCGCGACCCCACCCGCAACCCACCCGCGACCCACTCCGCGACCACCCGCGACCCACCCGCGACCAACCCCGCGACCCACCTGCGACCCATGCGCGACCCACCCGTGACCCACCCGCGACCCATCCGCGACCCACCCGCAAACCCCCCGCGACCCACCCGCGACCGACCCGCGACCCATTTGCGACCCAGCCGCGACCTAACCACATTGGTTTAACGAAACAATCGGCGCCTGCGGCGGGCTCGTTGTATAATTTGTGGAACTTCGGCGCCTGCGGCGGGCTTCTCCAGAGTCTTGCAGACTGCCGACGTCCCCTCCGCCCCCTCACTCTTATCCGCATCTGCGGGGTGCTACGTAAATATGCTTGTAGTTCATTATGTGGGTGGCAACTACTCGCACAGCTCAGTGGCAGCATCTCTTGAACCACATTGAATCAAAGCGTGGCAGCGAAACCTCTAAAAGAGTGCACGTGTGAGCGACAGGTGCCACATGCATTCCATAATATTGGGTCATGCGTCGTGGATAGGACAGGTGCGTGTCAGGTATTTGCGCTCGCTGGTGAACATTATGCTGGAACACATCATGTGCACATTGTTGCACCGTGTTCATAATATGCGCGGGGCATTGGTCATGACCTTCCCTGGACATACGTTATGGTTTCCGGGAACAACATGTCTGACCCGATCTCTGGTTGCAGCCTCTCCAGAAGCTTCCAGGGGCGTTGGCCTCTGCGAGGGCTTGCGGGCTCCTCATCTCTGTAGGCATGTGCGCGCGGGACGAGACCACGCTGCATTGAGGCACAACGTACCCAGGTCAAGGAAATCAGCATCACCCACGCAGGGATGTAAAAGATGCAACAACATCGAAAACGAGCTATACGCTATACATCTGTAGGGCCTGCATGACGGAGGAGGACAGACGGAAGGTTTGGCCTGATAGGTGGAGTAAAGATCCCCGATGCCTGCACCGCCACCTCCGGGTGCTTGACCCAATTCGCAGACCCATTGCACCACGCACCCCTCCAGTGGCTGTCAAACACTCCGTCCTCACTCTCTGTCACGTCACCGTGTGGATTGCGAAGCAGGACGAGGCTCACAACGTCCCCGTTGCTCTTGACAGCAGTTTTGCCACTGATCAGCGAGTACGCGTGACCGAGCACGAGGCCGTCTGGCCTGAAGAAACCGCGGGTGCTCTCGGGCTGCTGGAACTTGGTGATCGAGCTCGTCATCAGGTAGTTCTGCGCCTCGTACTTGATGACCTTCGCCCACATCTCCCTGTCGTTGAGCGGCGCCTCCGCCCCGTCCACCTCCGCGAGGGCGTGCCCCGTGACGCCTCGGCCGAAGTGCTGAGAGCCGTGCCGGTCCCACCGCCCGAGCGCCGCCTTCGCCTCGTCGGCGCCTGCCGGTGGCCGCGCGAAGCAGTAGACCTGAGCAGCAGTCAACCGATCCCTATCCCCACCGGCGCGTCGTGCGCCCCGCTGGCCGATTCACCCCCCTGGATGGGCACGTGGGCCGTCCCCTTCGGGTTCCGAGGGGTGCATCCCCAACCGAGGTGGTGGGATCGGGGGGATCGGGACGTGCTTGCGGGATGGGGAAGGGGGAGAGCGATCCAGCGATGCTGACGACCAGGGGGAAGCCGGTGAAGGCGCTGAGGGCGTAGGGCTCGGACCCGCCGGCGAGGTGGGCGTAGCAGCCCACGAACTTGGCCACCGCCTTCTCCAGCAGCAGGGCCCACACCCGGTTGTGGGCAGGGCGCCCGAGGGCGGGGAGCGCCAAGAGGCGGGCCGGGGGAGCGGCCAGGGCCCCCCTGGTTCGCGCTTCGCGGCGCGCGGAGCGCGGAGCGCGAACACCCTCGCGCTCTCTCGCGCCGCCTCCCAGGGGAGGAGAGGAGGACGAGGAGGAGTCGGAGCCGCAGCGCGAAGCGCGGACCACTTCGCGCCCTCGAGGGCGCCCCTCGAGAGCGGGGAGCGCCGCGCGTCGCGGCCCGGGGCGTGCGCACGGACCGAGGCGGGGGCCCAGGGCACGCGAGCGGCGAGGACGAGCGGGTCCTGCGCGAGAGGCCACGGCGGCCCGACGCGGTGGCTCGCGCGGTGGCCTGTGCGGGCGCCGCCAGCGCGGCACGCTGCCTCGGAAGCGAGGGCGCTCTTGCGCGCGACCTCAGCGCGCGGGCAGCCTGCGCGCCAGCGACGGTGAAGCCGAGCCCGCTGTTCTGCGTCTGTCACGCGTCAAAGTCTTGAGGGCGGCCGGGGGGTGGGTCTGCGCAGGATGGGCGCCGAGAGAATCTGCCAGAGAGGGGAAGAGCAAGGGCCAGGAAGGAACGGGGGCCACGAGACCCGGAAGATATCATGGCCCCGGCCATGATGTCCCCACACCCCTGGTCCCCAACCCCATCTTGGGCGCCCCCGAGAAGAGCGGGACCCACTTGCCGGGCACCTTCTTGCGGCCCCTCTGGTCGTAGACGTCCTCGTGCCTGTAGCGCCTGCCCCCGTCGGCGCCCGAGGTGACCTTGAGCCTGCTCCAGTCCTCCTCCCGGGTGCACGGGATGAAGTCGTCGACCTCCACATTCTCCCAAGCGGCCCTGTCCATGTCGTAGAGCCGGACGACATACCTCGAGAGGAGAAGGCGGAGAGAGGGGGGGAGAGGATGGAGAGACGGGGAGGAGAGGATGAAGAGAGGGGGAGGAGGAGCAGGAGCAGGAGGAGGAGGAGGCAAGGAGGAGGAGGAATCGACTCCGACGACTGGCCGCCTCGCCGATCCCGGCCAGGCCCGCCCCGGGCCGGCGATGGGCGCACGCGCCCTCCGGGCCCTCGGCCGGGCCAAGACACGCGCCGACCCTGGGCCCACGACTCTCCGGGCCCACGCCGACGTGGGCCAGGGACCTGTGTGACGGGGCGCTCCTCCACAACCACTACCACGGGCAGGAGGAGAGGAGGAGAAAAGGAGGAGCAGGAGGAACTGGAGGAGGAGGAGGAGGAGGAGGAGGAGGAGGACCTCTCCCCTCTACTTCCTCCCCCCTCCTGCCTCTGGCAGTGGTGGTGCAACATCTGCCCATCACCGTGTGGAGCGCAGGCCACCGCAGCGTGGCGCCGGTGCCGCCCGCTGTGGCGACGCAGCGCGCGCGCCGACCGGGTCCGAAGCCGGGGCTCGCCGCGAGCCCACGCGCTCGGGGCCGTGGCTGCGCTTCCTCGAGCGAGGAGCCCGGCCGGGATCGCCGGGGCGGCCCGCCGACGTCCTCGGGCGCGGCTTCGTGGGGGGGGCCACTGCGCGGGGGGCCACTGGAGCGGTCCCCTTTCGTGCCTCCTTCGGGCCCCTCCGGAGCCCCAGGGGGCACGTTTGGGTACCCTTTGGGGCACCTCTGCGGACCGCCCTCGCCACCCACCTCCCCTTTTATATGACCCCCACATGATACGCAACGCCCAAACGTCCCCCCCCCGGGCACCTGCCCCGGGCCACGTCCACCTCCACGAAGAGCTCCCGCACGGCGTGCGGGAACTCCGCCAGCGCGGCGACGGCGGGGGGGGGTGCCCGAGAGCCAGGCAGCGCCGAGGGGGGGCCACCGCCGAGGGGGGTCGCCACTTCGCCGAGGACGCGCCACGTCCCAGGGGAGATGGGCCCCCCAGAACGCTCCAGAGCCTTCCGAAACGACCCTTGGGCGTGGCCCAGTGGGGGGGTCACAAACGGGGGGGTCAGAAACGCTCCCCTTTCGTGCCTCTTTCGGGCCCCTCCGGAGCCGCGGGGGGCTCGTTTAGGTACCGTTTGGGTACCTTTTCGGACCACCCTCGCCACCCCCCCATTTACGACTCCCCCATTACGCAACGCCCAAGACCCCCAATGTTATTAGACGCCGTGTGGCGCGCACGTTAGCAGTGGAAGGGAGCCGGCGAGAGCGGCTGTACTCTCGCGCCGTGCTGTTCCAGACGCCCGGCAGCAGCCTCTGACCAGACGTTACTTAGGTCGGGCATGTGCCCCTACAGGCGGATTTTGGACGAAAAATCAAAAATAGCCAACAAACACACAAAAAAAAAAAACTAGCTTGAACATGATAAATATACCGGAACTATTAGATGATGAACGAAAACTACTTGAACATGATAAATAGAACTAGTTTGGACAACAACGAAAACGAAAACTACTTTTTACTATTTTGGAAGTTTCCTCATGTAGAGGGACAAGCTCGATTTAAGCCTTCCCTGAAGACACAGAACACTTCTCAGAAGGCCAGAGGGCTTCCGAGAAGCCACGCCGCCTTGCGAGAAGGCCTTCTCCTCCTCACTTCCTCCCCTGGCTCACCGCCGACAGAAACCTCCCCGAGCTTCGATCCTGGGACCCTGACCCGGGGCCTATTGGCTTGTCATGGGGCCATCTTGGAAGCCTCTTTGGCCGTCTTGGGACGGTTTTGGTCCTTCCGACGTCGTCGTAGGCGTTTCTGGCCCGTCTGTCGCCGTCGGAGGCTACTGGGGGAGCCTCGCTGGAGTTTCTTGGGGCGGTTCTAAGCCGTCTCCTGGAAGACCCATGACCAAAAGTTTGGAGCTGGAGATTCGCGAAGCTATCAGACCAGGTGTTCCCCGAACTGCTGTGGAGATCTCTTGGGGAACGCCTGGAGGAGCATGAGAACTGGTGATCCCTCAGGTGGTGACCCCCCTCACCACCTGCCCGAGAGAGGGGGGAGGGCGGCCCCGTGCCCGCCCACGCCGCGTCGGGGGGCCGAGGGGAGCGCGGGGGCGAGGAGCGCGCCAGCGGCTGGGGGTAGGAGGGCAACATCGATACGCCTACCTGCACGACCACCCGCTGGGGTGAAAAGGGGGTTCGGGGGGGGAACCAACGTCTCAATGAATCGATCTCACCATCGGTCTCACGCGATCGACCTCCCTCTATCGATCTCACCCCATCACCTCCGACACCAATCCTACCCTTAAGTCGGGCGTGTCCCTCTACAGACGGTTTTTGGACGACCAATAAAAAACAGTCAACAACAAATCCCAACCAATGCTCAAAAATAGTAGCAACATCGTCCCCAGACTATTTTTTACCTACTTTGAATATTCCTCCTGTAGAGGGACAGGCCCGACTTGGTCCTAACCCAGCCCATCCTGGGCCCAGGTTCGACCTGGCAAGGATCGGTGTCGGTGTAGGTGCAGTCGGCGCCCTCCGATGGGGGGGGGGGGGGGGCGGGGCGAGAGAGGAACAGAGGAGCATGACCCTCGATCATCGATCCTTCAGCCTCGATCAAGGCTCGAACCTCGACCCCCCATCAGGGAGGCAAAGGGGGGGCTCCCGAGGAGGGGCCGGAGGCCCCCGAGGAGGGCCTCTCTGAAGGGAGGAGGGGAAGCCCCACCGCCTCTGCCCCGCGCCTCCGTCTGCCCGCCGCCGAGCCGGCCCTGAGACTCCACGCTGCAACAAAAGCTGCAGCATCGCGAACAATCACGACTGGAGCCCAAGACCCGATGCACAGTCGGACCTGGGCCGGAAGAGCATCCCCCCCGAACATGGGACCCTCTGTCGGCCAGAACAGACAGAACATCCAAGGGTACCCTCCCCACAGGATGCACAGGAGCATCCAAACATGCACGAGAACACTATAGGGTACCCTCCCCGAACCGGCCTCGATCTCAGACCTTGATCCGACCGTATCTCTCTGCGGCGCACCTCGAGCTGGACCTACCGGTGCCTGGCCCCGGTCTCCCCGCGACCAGGCGAGAACGCCCGGTGCGCAGAATGCCAGCGCCCCAATCTCGGGGGTTCTGGAGTTCTGGATATAACGACCAGGTCGGGGTGACAGACTTAACTAACTGGATTTCTGCTTCTTGGCTAGCTCAGCTTTGCTGTAAGCTTTGGGCCAAGTTCCACGAGGAATCCGATCGAGGGAGGCCCCGGGCGGGCGGAAGGGGAGCGGAGCCCACAAGAGAGAGCGCAGGGCGCGCCCGCGGGGCCCCGTGGAGGCACGGATGCACCAACGGCGACGGGGGCCCCCACAGGGTGCGCGCCTCTCCTCGAGCTCGCTCGCGCTCGCCTTCTCGCGGACGTCCCCTCCCCGTGCAGCCTTCGGTTTTGCGCGTCGCTCCTGGGCTCGCCGGATGGTCCGGGAGGCTCCTCGATGGTCCTCGACGAGGGGAAAATGCACACGTCCGAACGACGCCGAGCTCGGTCGGTCCCCAGACCCTCCCCGCGGCCCATCTTTGGACACCCCGTGCCCCCTGAATTGCAAACACGCCGCCGTCTACATACCATGATGCGTGCCGCAAGTCGCGCCCGACGCCACACGCCGCGATTTGCAGGCCGCGCAGGGCGGTCCATCCTGGCCAGGCCTTCCAGCCGAGGCCGCGGCGTCGCGGGCCCCGGGGCCCGCAGCGGGCCTCCCGGGGCCCAGGAAGCGACGGAGGCCCTCCCCAGAGCTCGGAGCATGGCCGGGGGAGCGACAAGGCACCGCCAGAGTGGAGGCCCGACCACAAGACACCGTCCTCAAGAAGCCCAGCCCCGAGACCCAGGACGCCCATTGACTTTCGGTGGGGGGGCGCCACGCCCTCCACAGCAAAGCCATCGAGTTTCCAAGAGACCACCAGGGCACCCTGGAGGCAAGCGGGGTGTCTCTTGGCATGGGCCTCCACTGTACCACTACTACCCGAATCTCTCCTGAGGTGCGTTCTGGCAAAAATCTCGAGGCGAATCCAACCGTGGCGACCGGGGAGGGGTACGGGTATCCGTATCGCTTCCTCCGCTGATTGATACGCCACTGTGCTCTTCTCCGCCGAACCCCCTCGTCTGGGCACCCACCCCCGACTGGAGGCCACTAGCCAGCAGTTGCCCAAGCCGCCCTGCGTCAGGTCGCCGGGCTCGATGCAGTCGTCCCAGACCAGGCGCGGGGTGCCCTCAAGGTCCCCGGCCTCCAGGCAGCCGTTCATCTCGAGCAGGTCGGGCAGCCGGATCCACGTCGTCGCCTCCAGCCTGGGTTCGGCCCCGTTCCCCGGGAGCCGAGCCCCCAGGGTCTCCTCCTCCCTACCTCCTTCCTACCTTCTCTTCCGTCCCCACCTCATCCTCATCACCATCACTATTATTATTCCTCCTCTCCACCTCCTTCACCACCGCCACCACCCACCATCATAAGAGAAAGAGGAGAAGGAGGAGGAGGAGGAGGAGCAGGAGGAGGAGGAGAAGAAGGAGGAGGAGGAGGAACAGAAGGAGGAGGAGGAGGGTGGAAAAGGTCAGACCTGGCAGGGCCAAGAGGCAGCAAGAGAAAGCAAGAGAGACAGGGGGAGAGGGAGAGCGGGGCAGGAGGAGGGGGTGGACGAGCACAAGCAGGGCCAGGAGCGGGGCAAGAGCAGGAGGAGCAAGAGGGATCGAAGAGAGGAGGAGGAGGAGGAGGAGGAGGAGGAGGAGGAGGAGGAGGTGGAGGAAATGGGCACCTGTGCTGACGGGTGATTTGGGTGTCGCGGGAAAACAGGCGGGTAGCAGCTCGTTCGTCACCCCTGTTTGCCCGCAGCGAGCCAGGGGGGGAGAACACTGGTCTTGTCGCCACGTTGCGTCACCCTTGCGGCGTCCCACCTGGTACCCCGCCAGGGCTCGGGCGAGGACGCGGGTCGCCCGCGGGCGGCTCCTCGGGGGATCCCCACCCGTTCCTCCCACGGCTCGGGTGCCCCGCTCGGTGCGTGCGCGGGGGCGGGAGGCGGCCGAGGGAGCGGCGCCCCTCGGCTGGCTTGGGGCGGCACTGGGGGCTCGGAGCCCTCCGGGGCGGGCGCGGCCTGCAAAAATGGCTGTCGGCAGCGAGGTGTGTTCCCCCGTGCCTGTCTTGTCTCATCTGCTCGTGCCGTCTCTGCTCGTTCGTGGTCTCCGCAGGCTCCTGGCCGCGCATACCCGTTGGGCGGCACCGACTCAGCACGGTCGTGCGCCCCCTGGTGGCGTGTGTCGCCAAGCAGGTGGTCGGTCGGCTCGCGCTGCGGCAGCCGGCCATGGCTCATCGCCTTTTTTCTTGCCTCTCCGCAATGTGTTTGCGATTCGGTTGCTGTGCAGGCGCTTTGGCTGAGGAGCCAACTTCAACCAACAGGAGGAGGAGGAGGAGGAGGAGGAGGAGGTAGAGCTAAGCCTGCCAACACAACAAGAGAGGAGGAGGAAGACGACAAGGATGAGGAGACGGACGAAGACGAGATCGAGGACGAGGACGACGACGACGTCGACGACGACGACGATGACGATGACGACGACGACGACGACGACGACGATGGGCCGACGCCGCCGCCGCCGCCGCCAGCGCCGACGCCGACGCCGCCGCCGACGACGCCGACGCCAACGCGGCCGACGACGACGACGAAACCGACGGCGACGACGGCGGCGACGGCGACGGCGACGGAGACGGCGACGGCGACGGCGACGGCCACGACGATGGCGACGGCGACGACGACGCCGACAACAACAGCAGCAGCACCACCAACAACAATAACAATAATGACAACAATAACACCAACAACACCAATAACACCAATAACAACAGCAACCGCAACAGCAACAGCAACAACACCAGCAAATACATCATCAGCAATAACAACAATAACAAACACAGCGACACCAACAACAACAACAACAACAACAACAACAACAACCAAAAACAACCACAACAACAACCGCAACATCAACAACAACAAAAAAAACTCAACACCAAAAACCACAACAACAACAACAACAACAACAACAACAACAACAACAACGACCACCACAGCAACACCAACACCAACAACACCGACAGCTCTTACTTGCCCGTGTGTCATTCAAAACGAGGTCCCCACACCCTCCATGCCCGCCCTTTTTGTCGTCGATCACACCCACTTTGGGGGATTCGTTCTCTTTGCGGGGGGCGGCGGGCTTAGACATGCGGGCAAACCTGAAAAAGCGGACAATCCTTCGTGGCCGTACATGTCCCCGCCATTGGAATTGGTGTGGGCCCTGCAAACGAGAGGAGGGGGAGGACGAGGGAGAATGGGAGGAAGGGAGGGGGAGGGACGAAGGAATAGGGAAAACGCCAGGAGAGAAGGAGCGAAGACGGGGGCGGTTGATTAGATGCAGAGAGAGAGAGAAAGAGAGAGTGAGAGAGAGAGAGAGAAACATATCAGAAAGGTAGGAAAGAGAGAGAGAGAGAGGAGAGAAAGAGAGAGAAAGAAAGAAAAAGGGAGGAGGCAGGACAGGGGAGGGAGAAGGGAGGAGGGAGAGGAGGGAGAGGGGATAAGGCAGAGAGGCATAAGGATGAGCGACGCGAGGAAGGAGAGAGAGAGAGAGAGGAGAGGAGGGAGGAAGGAGGAGGGAGAGGGAGGAGGAGCAGGAAAGAAAGAGCGTGAACGTTCGAGGAAGCCCTAGGCGAAAGCGCCGTTGCTGAAGGAAAACTCGGGCGGAAGCCCACGACGGGCGGGCGATCTCCTGACGGGCGGGTCGGGCGGGTGGGACATTAAAGCGGGATGCCTGAGTATGGCGAATGCGCGATTACCAAGTAAATTGTAACGGCGTCCTTGGCGCAGCGTGTTTCCTGAACGTCGAAAGCGCGAGTTCTGAATACATCGCATGGGATTCACATGCGAGAGCGCAACTCCAGAATAAAATGTGAAGGGCTCTCTGGCGGGAGCGCGGGTCTTAATTAAATTGCGAGGAAGTCTTGACCCAGTTACGAGGAAGTCTCAAGCGGGAACACCGTTCCGGAGTAAACTGTGATGAAGTCTCAGATAGGAGCGGGGGCCCCGACTAAATTGCGAGGAAGTCACCGGCGGGAGCACCGATCCTGAGTAAATCGCGAGGAAGTCTCAGGAGCGGGGGTCCTGAGTAAATTTGGAAGATCTCTCAGGCGGGAGCCGTTGTTGTTGTTGTTGTTGTAATCCGGGGGGCCAGGGGCCCAGTTTGAGAACGAAGACTTCCCCTGTCGAAGAGCAGGGTGCGAGCGTCGAGGAGCACACTTTGATTGAGAAAGAACAGCATGCACCGGTGATGGGGGATCAACATTAATTCTTACGTTATTGTGATCTTAGTGAGAGTTCAACCACAACAGCAACAGCAACTGCAACAGCAACAGCAACAGCAATAACAACAACAGCAACAGCAACAACACCAGCATGAGCAAAAACAGCAACAGCAACATCATCAAACACAACAACAACAACAACAACAACAACAACAACAACAACAACAACAACAACAACAACAACAACAACAACAACAACGACGACGACGACGACGACGACGACGACGACGACGACGACAACAACAACAACAACAACAACAACACCAACAACAACAACAACAACCACAACAACAGCAACAACAACAACAATCAGTATCATTATAAATCGGTTCACTCTTACTTGTCCGTGTGTCATTCAAAACGAGGTCCCCACACCCTCGATGCCCGCCCTTTTTGTCTTCGATCACACCCCACTTTGGGGGATTCGTTCTCTTTGCGGGGGGCGGCGGGCTTAGACATGCGGGCAAACCTGAACACGCGGACAATCCTTAGTGGGCGTGCATGTGCCCGCCATTGGAATTGGTGTGGGCCCTGCAAAGATCGGAGGGGGAGAACGAGGGGTAATGGGAGGAAGGGAGGGGGAGGGACGAAGGAATAGGGAAAACGCCAGGAGAGAAGGAGCGAAGACGGGGGGCGGTGATTAGAGGCAGAGAGAGAGAGACCGAAAGAAAGATAAGAGGGTAGAGAAAGAGAGAGAGAGAGAGAGAGCGAGAGGGGAGAAAGAGAGAGAGAACAAAAAAAAAAAACTGGCGAAGGACCCCATATGAAGTTGTGAGTACCGCAATTGTGAATATCTTCTTCGGTGGCGTTCCCTATGGGGCCACGAAACGTGTGAGGGGTGTGCCGAGATGGGTGCGCGGGACGCATGCGGGCACACCCACTGGGACCTTCGGTGGAGCTCCCTATGGGGCCACGAAACGTGCGAGGGGTGTGCCGAAATCGGTGTGCGGGACGCATGCGGGCACACCCACTGCGACCTTCGGTGGAGCTCCCTATGGGGCAACGAAACGTGTGAGGGGTGTGCCGAAATGGGTGTGCGGGACGCATGCGGGCACACCCACTGTGACCTTCGGTGGAGCTCCCTATGAGGCCACGAAACGTGTGAAGGTGTGCCGAAATGGGTGTGCGGGACTCATGCGGGCAAACCCACTGGGACCTTCGGCGGCGCTCCCTATGGGGCCACGAAACGTGTGAGGGGTGTGCCGAAATGGGTGCGCGGGACGCATGCGGGCACACCCACTGGGACCTTAGGTGGAACTCCGTATGGGGCCACGAAACGTGTGAGGGGTGTGCCGAAATGAGTGTGCGGGACGCATGCTGGCACACCTACTGGGACCTTCGGTGGAGCTCCCTATGGGGCCACGAAACGTGTGAGGGGTGTGCCGAAGTGGGTGTACGGGACGCATGCGGGCACACCCACTGGGACCTTCGGTGGAGCTCCCTATGGGGCCACGAAACGTGTCAGGGGTGTGCCGAAATCGGTGTGCGGGACGCATGCGGGCACACCCACTGGGACCTCCGGTGGAGCTCCATATGGGGCCACGAAACGTGTGAGGGCTGTGCCGTAATGGGTGTGCGGGACGCATGCGGGCACACCCACTGGGACCTTCGGTGGCGCTCCCTATGGGGCCACGAAACGTGTGAGGGGTGTGCCGAAATCGGTGTGGACGCATGCGGGCACACCCACTGGGACCTTCGGTGGAGCTCCCTATGGGGCCACGAAACGTGTGAGGGGTGTGCCGAAATGGGTGTGCGGGACGCATGCGGGCACACCCACTGGGACCTTCGGTGGAGCTCCCTATGGGGCCACGAAACGTGTGGGGGTGTGCCGAAATGGTGTGCGGGACGCATGCGGGCACACCCACTGGGCCTTCGGTGGAGCTCCCTATGGGGCCACGAAACGTGTGAGGGGTGTGCCGAAATGGGTGTGCGGGACGCATGCGGGCACACCCACTGGGACCTTCGGTGGAGCTCCCTATGGCCACGAAACGTGTGAGGGGTGTGCCGAAATGGGTGTGCATGCGGGCACACCACTGGGACTTCGGCGGAGCTCCTTGTGAGGGGTGTGCCGAAATGGGTGTGCGGGACGCATGCGGGCACACCCACTGGGACCTTCGGCGGAGCTCCATATGGGGCCACGAAACGTGTGAGGGGTGTGCCGAAATGAGTGTGCGGGATTATGACGATGATGGTGATGACGGTGATGATGACGACGATGATGATGATGATGATGATGATGATGACGGGAGGAGGGAGGAGGAAGGAGGGGCAGGAGGAGGAGAGGAGAGGAGAGGAGACGCGGGCCACCATCTCTTCAAAACGAGGACCCAACACCACAGGATGGTTGGGAAAAAAAAAAAAAAAAAAAAAGGGAGGAGGCAGGAGAGAGGAGGGAGAAGGGAGGAGGGAGAGGAGGGAGAGGAGGGAGAGGGGATAGGGCAGAGAGGCATAAGGATGAGGGAAGCGAGGAGGGAGAGAGAAGGGAGGAGAGGAGGGAGGCGGGAGGAGGGAGAGGGAAGAGGAGCAGGAAAGAAAGAGCGTGAACGTTCCAGGGAGTCCTAGACGAAAGCGCCGTTCCTGAAGGAAGTCTCGGGCGGGAGCCCACGACGGGCGGGCGATCCCCTGATGGGCGGGTCGGGAAGGTGGGACATTCAAGCGGGATGCCTGAGCATGGCGAGAGCGCGATTACCAAGTAAATTGTAACGGCGTCCTTGGCGCAGCGTGTTTCCTGAGCGTCGAAAGCGCGATGTCTGAATACATTCATGGAAGTCACAGGCGAGAGCGCAATTCCTGAATAAAATGTGCGGGGTTCTCTGGCGGGAGCGCGGGTCTTAATTAAATTGCGAGGAAGTCTTGACTCAATTGCGAGGAGGTCTCAAGCGGGAGCGCCGTTTCTGAGTAAATTGTGAGGAAGTCTCAGATGGGAGCGGGGGCCCCGACTAAATTGCGAGGAAGTCACCAGCGGGAGCACCGATCCTGAGAAAATTGCGAGGACGTCTCAGAAGCGGGGGCCCTGAGAAAATTTTGAGGAAGTCTCAGGCGGGAGCCGTTGTTATTGTAATCCGGGGGGCCAGGGGCCCAGTTTGAGCAGGAAGACTTTCCCTGTCAAAAAACAGGGTGCGAGCGTCGAGGGGCACACTTTCATTGAAAACAAATGCACCGGCGAGGGGGAATCAACAATACTTATTCTTCAAAAATGAAAGTTCAACACCAACGACGAACGACGAAGACCACGATGACGATCACAACAACAACAACAACAACAACAACAACAACAACAACAACAACAACAACAACAACAACAACAACAGCATCATCATCAACAACAACGACAACAACAACCACAATCATTTTAAGACGGTTCGCTCATATGCGATCGCGTGCCGTGAAATATGCATATCCCAAACCCTGGATACCCGCTTTCTTCGTCTTCGATCGTACTCCTTTTGGGGGGTACCTCCCTGCAACGTGTAGTTGGAAAGGTCAGCAAACAAGAAAACGCAGGAGAAATGAGAAAGGGAGATAATGAAAACGAAGGGATCAAAGGAAGGGAGGGACGAGGGGAGGGCCACCAGGGAGGGAGGGCGACGATTTGCGTCGCGAACTGCGCTAAAGTTTCCGCCATGGCTTGCGCCGTCCATTCCAACACAGGTGGACAATACACCGGACTCATTTCTGTATCGCTCACTTCTACAGTGCTCACTTCCAAGCTGAGGTCCTGAGGGGGCCGCACATGCACGCACATGCCGCACAGTCGCATGCACATGCCCACGCAGCTCCGAAAAAGCCTCAATGGCAACATGCGCGCATCTGCCGCACAGGCCGATGCAAAGTCGGATGCACAGTTTAGAACAAATCCTGAAAATATAAACGCACATGCCCGCACATGCCGCAAAGTCAAAGACTCGAAGAGTCAGGGAGGAGTAAATATCTGATCCGAGAGTTGCGGCGATGTCTCAATCGAAAGTGGCCGACCACCACGGGCCATGGGACAGGGCATCTCCGAGTTCAGAATTGCGAGGACGTATCAGGCGAAAACTGCCCGACCATCTCAGCTCAGGGCACATCGGAAGCCTGGGTCGCGAGGACGTCTCAAGCGAATGTGGCCGAGCCACCATGGGGCAGGGCATCTCCGAAGCCAGAATTGCGAGGCTGCATCTGGCGAAAGTGGCCTGACCACCCCAGTTGAAGGCATATCGGAACCCAGAGTTACGAAGATGTCTCAAGCGGAACTGGCCGGACCACCGCGGGGCGGGGCATCTCGGAGTTCAGAGTTGCGAGGACGTCTCAAGAGAGAACGCCCTGATTTTCTCAGCTCAGGGCAAATCGGACGCCTGAATTGCGAGGAAGTTTCAAGCGAAAGTGGCCAGACAAACGTGAAGCCTGGCATCTCCGATGTCAGAGTTGTGAGGATGTCTCAGGCGAAAGTGGCCTGAACACCTCAGCTCAGGCCATACAGAACCCAGAAATGCGAAGGTGACTCGGGGCCGCCCCCGGCCCGGCCGCCCCAAGCCCGGCCAGCCTCGGCATTCTTGCAAATTTCGCACATGCCCCGCACGGCAACGCACAGCATCTGCACAGGCCAACGACGATGCCGACGCCGACGCCGACGCCGACGCCGACGCCGACGCCGACGCCGACGCCGACGACGACGACGACGACGACGACGACGACGACGACGACGACGACGGGGGGAAGGTGGGGGAGGACGAGAATGAGGAGGAGGGCGAGGAAGAGGACAAGGAAGAGGAGGACGAGGAGGAAGAGGAGGAGGGAGGGAGAGAGGGAAGAGGGAGGAGGGCGGGGGCTGAAAGGTCGACCGACTGGCCCCCGGCAGGCAGCGAGGCAATTGCGCGGCCCTTCGGAGGCAATGCATATGGGCCACGACGGGCGCGAACGACTGGGGGCCACGAAGGGCATGAAAACCGAGGCCACAGAGGGCAGCGACGTGGCCGCTGAGGGCAGCACCGGGGCCACGAAGGGCAGCGAGGGGGCCACAAAGGGCGACAGCGGGGCCACGAAGGGCATGCATATGGGGCCACGACGGGCACGTGCGAGCGGGGGCCACGAAGGACATTCGAATACGGGGCCACAAAGGGAGACAGCGGGGCCACTGATGGCAGCAAAGGGGCCACGAAGGGCAGCGAGGGTGCCACGAGGGGCGACAGCGGGGCTACGAAGGGCATGCGTACGGGGCCACGACGGGCGCGTGCGAGCCGGGGCCACGAAGGGCATACAATGCGGGGCCACAAAGAGCAGCGACGGGGCCACTGAGGGCAGCAACGGGGCCACGAAGGGCAGCGAGCAAAGGCTACCGCGGAACCAGTACGGGCAGCGAGGGGCATCGAAGGCGGGCGAAGGACAGCGAGCGGCGACTGCAGTCGTCAACGGGCTGGTCGGGCGGGCAGGCCCCGACGGGCGGGTCGAGCGGGCGGGTCGTTGAAGCGTGAGTCCTGCTTGAACCGCCAGGCAATATGTAGCGGGAGCGCCACTCCTGAGTGTCGAGGAGCGGCATCTAAATGAATTGTAAAGAAATGAGCGAAGCGGTTCGGTGGTAAATTGCGAGGAAGTCCCTAGCGAGAACGCGATTCTGCAATAAACTGTCAGGAGGTATCAGGCGGGAGCCGCGATTCGGTGGTAAATTGCCAAGAAGTCCCAAGCGAGAGCGCGATTATTCAATACATTGTGTAGAACAGGCCGGAGCCGTTGTTGTTGCTGTTGTTGTTGTTGTTGTTGTTGTTGTTGTTGTAAACCGGGGGCCAACGACACAGTTTGACCCTCAAGACTTTCATTCATAAAAAACCGGGTGCGAGCCCCCAGAGGGGCACTTCAATCGAAAAATACAATGTGCACTGGGCAGGGGGGATCAACAATATGATTCTTCAGAAATGAAAAGTCAACGACAACGACGACGACGACGACGACGATGACGGCAGGAAGAGGCCCGTACTGGCGGCCTCCTCGCGTCCACGAAGGAGCGGCCTGGCTTGGGTGTCCCCAGTGAGGCGGCGCAGGGCCTGAAGCCGGGGGGGGGGGGGGGAGGAGGAGAGAGGCTGAGGGGGAGAAAGCCGGGGGGCGGAGGAGAGAGGCGGAGGGGGGAGAGAGGCGAACGACGGAGGGAGAGAGGGAGGGAGGGAAGGAGGAGGATAATGAGGAGGAGGAGGATGAGGAGGAGGAGGAGGAGGACGAGGAGGAGGACGAGGACGAGGAGGAGGAGGAGGAGGAGGAGGAAGGGGACGAGCTTCAGATGCTACGACCGGTGACCCAAACCCGATCAACGCCAAGCAAACACCGACGAGGGCCACGAGGAGGAGCAGCAGCAGCAGGAGAGGGCGGGAGGCGAAGAGGCAAGGGGGCCGACAGACGCGGGAGCAGCAGCAGCAGCAGCACCGGCCTGAAGTTCGGGTCCACAAACTTCCCGCCCGCCCTCCGCCGGCCCCGCCCGCAGACCCCGTCGGGCGCATCCCCGCTGGCCCACTCCGGCGCGCAGCGCGCCAGCGGGTGCTCCGCCGCGCACGCGGGCGCCAGTGAGCCGCCCATCGCCCGCGCGCGCACGCGGCGCCCGGCGCCCCGCGCACGCCGCGCCCGCTGCTGCTTCGCGGGCGAGGAACGGCACAGGACAGGACAGGACGGGATGCAGCGCGGCGGGTGGCTCCGCGCCCGTGCCCCTGGAGAGCAGGCTCGCTCAATGAAAAACAGCATCGAGGATCAATCCGCGTAGCGGCTTGGCGCTTTCGGGGCCGTCGGGAACGGCACAGGCGTCCCCCAAGGGCGGGAAAGATGTTGTGCCGTTCTTCATCCGCTGAGCTGCGGCCGCCAGCCCCTGGCGGGCGGCGCCGCGACGGGCCTCTGCCGGCGCGGCGCGCTGCGCGGCGCGCACGGGTGCACTGGAGATGGCGACTGCCTCACCGGGGCGACCACCCAAGGGGGGGGGACCCTGAGACCCGGGCGTTACAACTTGTCGCGCTGGGCGCTCTCGCCTGGCCTCGACACCGCAGGACCAGTACAGATCGACCCGGCTCGGAAGCATGCAGCTGGAAGGTACGGTTAGGTCGGGCCTCTCCTCTTACAGGCGGATTTTTGTTGAAAAACTAACAACACATTCAAACTCTGTCAAGAAATACTAGGAAAATCATTACCAGACGACCTTTTGTACTATTTTTGAATATTCGTCTTGTAGAGGGACAGGCCCGATTCAAAGATGAGGTCCCGATCGTGATGTTTCGCGATGCTGCCATGTTGCCCTGGCTTAGGATCTTGGGGTCTGCCGGCTCGGCCCGCTGGCTGAACTGGAGCGGCGACGGCCGCGCCGAGGTGGCCACTGACGTTAAGATAGTCGGGGCGATGTTTTGTATATTGTATTATGTTTTTGCTATGTTAGAATATGTTTCATTTTTCGTCCACAATCGTAGTGAGTATCGCTTAACCGATCCCCATCTCCAGTGGCGTGGCCTGGGCCCCACTGGCCGATTTACCATCCTAGATGGGGGTGTGGGCCGTTCCCGTCGGGCTTCGAGGGGTGCATCCCCAACCTGGAGGTAATTTCGTGGGGGTCTCGAAGGGGATGGGGGCGGGGATGTGGATCTCTCAAACGAGACCGGTCAGGAGCGCCCTCTCATGGCAAAACGCCAGGGCGCGGGCCCCACCGGGGGAGGCGGCCCGGAGGGGGCATCCCGCCGCGAAAGGGGAAGTTGGCATGTGGGGGGACACGCGCGACCTAAAACTGACGGGGCGGGGGAGGGCGGCGCTCTCCAAAATTGCTCCCCCCCAGCGGCGACGCGGGGACTCCCGGGGAGGCCAGGCAACAACAGCCGGGGGGGGGGGCGGCAGGGAGGAGCGCGCGCCGGGCAGCAGATGGAAGGCACGGGTCGTCGGGCAGCAGAGGTTGCAGAGGGCAAAAACTCCCCCCCGAAAAAATAGCCACCCCGACACGCGAAGCCGTTTACGAAACGCCCCCAGTGAAAGAGCAGGGCCGGGCTGTTGAGTATACGCCCGAGGCCTTCAGGTTCGGGCGCGGCGGGGAGAGCCGCGCGCTGGCGCGGCCGCGGAGGAAGGGTGAAGGGGGGGACCGCGCGCAGCGCGCGCTTAGACTGACAGTCTACTGCTGCCAACTCGGGAGGCCGCATCGGCCCACGGCCTCTGCACATGCGCCCCCCGCCCCGTGGCCTGCGGGGGGGAAGGAGGGGGGGGGAGAGAAAGGGGGGGGAAGGGGGGGAGAGAGGGAGTTTGTGAGCGCCTCGTGGTCGCCAACTGGGAAGTGACGCGCGGGACACTGTCCACCCCAACGGTTCCTTTCTTCTGTTGGTTGTCTGGCGGAGGTTCTGGGATCACCAACCTCCGTTCCGCGATGTCAGGCAGCAGACGTATCGTGTCCTCTCTACTGATTGGCAGGGGCTCCTTGAGAACCCCCTCCGGTTTTATCCCGAAGTGCTTACAAAGTAAAGTATGTGTTGAAACGCTGGTCTGAATTGCCGCAGCTGCTGAGTCGCAGGTTTGTGAATATCTTTATCCTTGCACATCGCGTCGCGTGGGCCTTGAGCCAAACAGTTCCGGACATAAACTGTCCAAGTGCCGGAAGTGGCATTGCTACAAACCCCGGGCGGAGCTCTGACCAGAGGTGGCATTGCTACGCACCTATGGTCAGAGCCTGTGCGCAATGACTGTGGCAATCTAAACGGTCGCACGGCGGCGACGGCCAAAGCCGGGCGGAAACCGTGACACGCACAGGGGGTACTCCGTGACACACCAACGCTTTGCTATGCTATACCTCACGTACCACACAGCGCGGCAGCAACGAAAATGTTACGAGTTTCGTCTTGGAGGCTGTCCTGCCAGCGCGGCCGAAATCATGGCCACGGCCCACTGGCCAAGATTTGCCGCCCTACGCTATGCCCACACACCGCGCAGCACGGCACCGCACAAACCGATGCACTTTGGCTGATTTTGCCGGGGCCCCCGGGCCTCCAGCCGGGCTAACGTCACCGCGCTGTCCAGAGCTCCCCCGCTTCACGCCCCCCTCCCTCCGTTCCTGCCACCATCGGACACGGAGCCTTCGCGACCAAGGGCGAAACAACCCCTAGGTCGCGAGACCGTGGGGAGCATCGCTCTACGGAGCGCAGCCCTGGGTATGACCCGAAAGTCGACGTCGCCTTCGGGCCGCCTGACTTGGTCAACCCATCGGCTCGCTGGTCAGCGGTGCCTACCTGAGTAATCATCAGGAAACCTCTCTGCGCGCGCGACCGCACCGCGCGCGCCTTTGTAGTCAGAGGCCTGGCCGTCCACAACCCCTGCCCTGACGGCGCCAAGTTCGCAGCCGCGCTGTCGACCAGCATCTCCGGCGACACCAGGGATCCCAGCGATTCCAGGGTAGCCCTCGTAGCCGCCAGCATCGTCTCCCCGACCGCATTTTCTTCGACTTCCGCCTTGGCGGTGCTGAATGGCCCCACCGCCTGGCGGGTGCTCCTGCAATCCACGACCTGGCCGAACGTGGCGGGCGCCGCCACGCTCTGGGCGCCGGCCTCCCCCATCGAAGCATCGGTGTACACCTCGAGCACAATCTCGTCGGTCTCTTCGGTGTCGCCCGCGCTGCCTGCCGCGCAAAGCAGACCGAAGCCGCGGCTGCCAGCCCAATATCGAAGGGCCCGCTCGCCTATCATCAGGGCCTCGGCGGGGCGCCCGGCGGGCAGCGCAACGGCCTCACTATGCCAGCCACAGGAGGCCTCCAGCCATCCTCTGGGCTAGCCTGATTTGGCCCGCCTTCGCGCGGCCTTCCGCGTTGCCCTCGGCGCCCTCGAAAGACGCGCGCTCTGGGTCGAGGCCCCGGGTCGGCGAGCATGCGCCGGGGCCCCATTTCTGGGGCATGTCTTCGGCGCACTCAAACCGCTACAGAAAAATCCCCTCGCGGCCAACTTCGATGTCGACGCTGGGGCACTTGAGCACGCCAGGCTCGGGTGGCCCGAAAAACCCCTGGAGCTTCGGCCCAAACCTCCGACGCCGCAGCATTGAGGTCCTCAACCAAGCCCTTCGGGCCCACCAGGATGAAGTCGCCCACGCGCGCGAGGAGCAGGCCCAACGTCTGGTCGGTCTCCTGGTCGCGAGCCGCCCAGACAGCTGGGTCGGCAGACGACCGCTGCAGCTGGCATCGGCAGCCATCGAGCTCAACCGTCATCTTCAGGAGCTCGCGGCCCTGTTTCTCAGCCCGCGCCCGGGGCGATGCCTGGAGCTCACAGATCGCTATCTGGGCGCGCCGCGCCTCCCCGGGAGGCGCTGGGCCGAACCTCGCGAAAGCTGCCAGGGGGCCCGCGAAGACCCCCCACGGTCGACGGGGAGGTCGGCGCTGAGGAAAACCACCTCAACGCCGAGGGCTCCGACGCGCCACGCGCTCGTCGCAGCCAGGGCGAAGGGCGCCCGCGACGATCCAATGTCGACACTCGCGGCGTAGAACCCCCTCGCCTTCGGCCGGCTGAAAGCATCTGCGCGCAACTGCTCGCGCGCGGTTCCTCTGGAGACCGGCCTCGCCAGGGGGCTTCTTGGCGAAGGCCGTCGACATCGGCACAATGACCGGGGCACGGAGGCCACAGCGCTCTCGAGCGCCGACGGGCCAGCACGCGCCCTTCCCCCGCAACGAGCCCACTCCTTCCAGGGGCGCCCGCCCCCAGCCCTCGCGCTCCTCGCGGAAGCCGGCGCTCGCCAACCCCTGGCCCCCCGCCTGTGCCCCGCCGCCCTACGCGACCTCCTGGTGCTCGAGAGGCAGCCCGACATCGTCGCCGTCGTCGAGTTTCGCGTCGGCAGCGCTCGCGAACGGAACGCGGTCTCGAAGGAAACCACAATGCACAAGAGGACTGACGGGGGCCCCGTGGGGCGAGGCCGCGCGAGCCGCCCCGGCCCCTCCTGGGCCTCGTCGGCAAGGGCGGCCGCGAGCATGACCCACGCGACGCCCTCGGCACGCCGGGCACGAATATGCATCGCCGCCGCCGCGATCAAAACTCCACCGCCGCCGTCTCGGAGGAGCGGTCCAAGGCGACAAGGCTCGCCCCTCGCGCGGCCCCCGCGCTGCCCTCTGCACGCTGGGCAACCGATGTCCTCTGGCGCCACCTCGCCGAGAGCGCCCGCGCCGCTTTCGGCGGCCCCGAAAACCTCCTGGAACACCCCAGAAAAGGCCTCCAACGATGGGACCATCGCCAGCAGCGCCTGCATCACCGCGACCAGCTGCCCCTGATCCTAGCTCCTCTTCTTGAGTCGCGCCCTCCGGAGGAACGCCGGCAGCAGGCGGCGCCTTGGGCGCCGCCGCGAAGGAGCTGGAAGACTCGATGATCCACCTGGGCTCCAGTCGCTTCTGCTCGACGCTCTCGCGGCCAACGAGCCGCGCGCTCAGCGACTCCAGGTCCGCGGCCCTCTCGGCCAGCATCGACCGAGGCGCGCCCTTCACGCGCGACGCCACCCGGTCGCCGAGTGCCAGGGGCCTCACCATACGCCCTTGCGCCTTCGCGCGGTCACGCCACGCCGCCTGCTGCACTGCCATTGGCCACGCGGCCTGGCGGCCCCCGATGTTCTCCAAGGACAGCAGCATGGCGCGCGCCCTGAGCTTCGCGAGGCCCGCCCCCTCCACGGCGCGGCCGCTCGCGTCGGCCTCGAGGCCAAGCGTGGATGCCACCACCTCCCACATGGCGAAATGCCCCATTCACCGAAGAGCCCGCGCCCTCGAACTCGGCGCGGCGCGGATCTGGGCGATGAGGCGCCCCAGGGCCGCCATGCAAGCCGAGGCCTGCTTTTTCTCCGGCGGGGGCGCGCAATGCCGCGTCTCCGTGGCCTCGCGCTGCTCCCCCCCTGCTTCTCGTCTGCTTCACCTGCATCCTAAGGGGCTGCCTCGCCGGCTGCCCCCTCCCTCAATCCGGTCATCCTCGGCCGCGGCCGCTGGCCCCACGGGCGCCGCATGCGCGGGCAAGCAGAGCCTGCCCAAAGAGCCCGCCCCGAACGCGGCGGCAACTCGCGCAGATAAGTCACCACTGCTCTCCGCTCGCTGCCCCCCCCTGAAGAACACCTCCAGCAGTGGCACTTATCTTAGCATCCTCCTCGCGCCCCCGCAACGCCTCCACCTCCGTCTCGCTCGCCGCCGAGAACGCGCCCAGCGCGGAATGGGCGGGCCGCTTCGGGGCGCCCTCCGGCCGCCACGAGGGCCACCTCCCCAGCAAGCGAGGGCCCGAGAGGTCAGCGCTCAGCGCGCCACCGGGCCCGGCAGAGGCATCGCGCCTGAAAGCCGCCTCAGGGCGCACCCCCGCCGCTCCTCGGCACCCCCCGCGCGAGGCGAGGAACTTCGAGCGCCCCTCCTCGCGGCGCCTCTAAAGCTCGGCGCCCCGCGCGCGCTGCGAGCCACAGCGGCGAGCCTCGCTCAGAATGCGCGCCTCGGCTGCGCGCGCCGCGCTGTCCTGCGCGCGTCGGCGCCCCCCTTCGAGATGCAGATCGAACCGCCATCGCGGTGAAGATGACACCCCAGGCCATCGCGCACGCGAGCCTGGCGCTCCGCTGCGTTCTGCGCCATGTCGAGCCCCAGCGACTCGACGCGCGCTGCCAACGGGAACAGCCCCTGGAGGCCCTCGCCCTTCACGCGCGCGATCTCCTCGTGCATCTCGGCGGGCAGCTCTCGGGCGGCCGCCTTCAGTAGGGGGCCCACAAAAGGACGCACGCGCCCAGCTATGTACATGAACACGGCCCCTTGAAACGCGATGCCGGCCGCGTTATACGAACATTTGCGCAATGCGTGCTCTCGAAACCAGCATGGATTCATGTACATGCACGTCCTTTTTTCGCTCCTGATTCAGCCTCGCGTCGCGAGCTCGGGGGTGAAGGCCCCGCCCCTCGAAACTCATGGGCACCCGCCAGCAGCATCCGCTGGCCGCGCGCCGCCGCCACCCTCGCGCGGGCGCCCACTGTCCTTGCAGCGGGGCCGCCCGCGCGGGGCGCCCTCGGAGAGGCCGCCGGCGGCGTCGGAGCCGAGCCCCAGAAATCGCCGGCAACGGCGGTCCGCGAGGTCGATGGAGGCCGCGGCGCATCGCCCATCTGCAGCAGGCCCAACAGCTCAGCACGGGCTTCAGCTCGGGTCGTCTGCGCCGCGACCTGAGCGACCGCGCCCGTCGGAGTCGGGGAGGGCGCCTGGGCATGCGAGGGAGGGGCCTCCGCTGCCTTCGCCGCCGCCTTCGGCCGAGCGCCCCCCGACGACGCGTGAGTCGTCGCACTGCAGTTGAAGCACGCCCCATCGCTGGGGCCAACTTGCGGCGGCCAAGCGTGCACGGGGCCCCCTTCGAGCAGCCCTCGGCCGTCTCGAAGAACGCGCAGACCTTCTTGGGCGGGCCCCTGGATGCGCGCTGGTCGGTCTTAGCCTTGCCGTCGTCGCCGCCCGTGTCGCCCAGGCCCTTCGGGTCGCCCTCGCCTGCTTTGGGGCCCCCCTCACCTCCTGTCCGATACCCCGCGGAGGCCCCGGCGAGTCGCGCTGCCGTCGCTCTGGCGGCCTCGGCAGCGAAGCCCAAATTTTCCCCGCCGGGGCCGGCGCCGGCGAGCTCGCGGGCCTCGGCCGACAGATCGCGCCACAGCTCACCCACCTGAGCCTGGCTGATCAGACCTCCCGTCACGTCGCGGCTCGCGATGGACGCGAAATTCCAATGCTGGACCTCCTGACCCTTTTCGAGCATCCGATTGGCGATCGAATTCAGCTGTCGACTCGGGCCCGGCGGCGCCGCGCCCATCCGAGCAAAACGAGTCGCTGCGAACAATACATGTCAGCAGCTCCTCGTAAACCAGCACCGTTTCCACCTCCTTCGCTGTTCCCGCGGCATTCAGCGCGATCTCCTCGTCAGCTCCCTCCCCCGGGCCTGCGCCCGCGTGGGCGGCGAAGACGATGTCGGCGGTCGCCGTCTGCCTCGTGCTCGAGCGCGCCTGTCTGACGCCGCCCGGCACCAACGCCACCAAGACCCCTCGCAACCTAAGCTCGCAACTGTTGAAGCTTATGGCGCCCAGCCTGGCATCGGCCCACTGGGGTGGCTGAGCAGGGCGAAGCGCAGGGCGACCCGACGGCCCGTGTCGATGATAGCTCATGCAGGTGCCCTACACGACACCCAGCACCTTCCCCCAGTACCGCTCGAGGAGGTAGCGCATGCCGCCCAGGTCCATGGTGATGCGTCGAAGCCAACTCTCGAAGATGCCTGGCTTCTTCGTGAGACCCCCCTACGACTCCAACTTCGGGGGCTCCGCGGCCTTCAACTTGGCCAACGTGCTCTCCAGAGACGCATCGCGCTGCGGGCCGCCGCCATCAGCGGGCCCAGCAGCACTGCCGAAAGGTGGCGGCGGGGGGAGAGGGTCCCGGAGGCCCACCTCCAGCTGCTCCTGGAAAACCATCGGGGCGCCACGGTCATCCTGCGCCTGCGGGTGGCCCGAAGCCTCCTCCGCCTGGTCCTCCTGGCCCTCCAAAGCCGTCTGAATGTCCTCCGCGGCCTCCTGGATGTCCACCGCAGCCTCCTGGATGCCCTCTGCAACCTCCAGGATGTCCTTCCTTTTTGGCCTCCTGGATGTCCTCCGCAGCCTCCTGGATGCCCTCCGCAGACTCCAGGTGGCCCAAAAACTTCTCTTCCTAGGCCCCCTGGTCATCCGAGCCCCCCAACGCCCGCAGTTCCAAGAAAATCACCCTGAACACCAGGAGCTCCGAGATGAAAGGGAAAAGGCCCTCCGCCTCCCCCTCTGCCCCCTGGCAGGCGCCGTGCCCATGCTTCCCAGGCCCGGGGGGGTTGTCCTGGCAGCCTCTAGCCTGTTCAGCTGCCGTCGCCACGAGCCCAACCGCCGCAGTGCAAAAATCGCCCTGGCGAGTCTCCTGCTTTTCCTGCTGGTCCACCGCGGCCCCCACGACGTTGAGCAGCCTGTCTATATATATCTTCCTCCTGGCCTGACGCTGCCATCAATCCTCTGGCTAGGCGATGCAAATCCTGGCCCGTCCTGGCCCACACCTTCCGCGCCGTCAGCGGCGCCATCGCGAAGGCGTTGGCTCTCGGCCTTGAGTTCGTTGATCTCCTGCCGCATCCACTGGAACTCCGCCATGAGCTCCGCAATCGCTACTACCTCCGCTCTTGCTGCTCCTGCGCTCGCGCCCCCTGCCTCCGATGCGCCGTAGTAATCCTCAAAGGGTTTGGGGCGGAGCAAAGTCGGCGCCTCGCGGGGCTCGGCGGCACTCGCTGGCACGAAGTCCACAGCGCGCGCTCTGGCCCAAGCACTCCTGGCCCCAGCTGCGCAGCCGCCCATCAGGCGAGCAGCTCTGGAGATCGTGCCCGAAACGATCGAACCGATCGCCTGGCCCGCCACTTGCCCACCTGAGGACACCAGCCGGCCGAGCACGACCCCATGCTGCTGAAAGCGGTTGGTGGCCTGATGGTAAACGAACGCGCAGCCCATCTCGTTCGCGCACTCCGTACAGACGGCGTGGCCGGCACGTGAGACGGTACAGTGCCCGTGCAATTGCTGCCCGCGGGCCTAGCAAGGCACAGTAGGCCCAATGACCACATCGCCGCAGCACTTGCACGTGCGGATCAACCATGCCATGTAGATGTCGTACTCGATGAAGTAGCATGCTGAGCACCACGTCGTAGGTTTGGGCCCAGAACCCTTGTGAGCGCCTCGCGGTCGCCTATTGGGAAGTGCGCAGGGCATTGTCCACCCCAAGGGTTCGCTTCTTCTGTTGGTTTTCTGGCGGAGGCTTTGGGACCACCAACCTCCCTTCCGCCATGTCAGACACACGACGTATCGTTTCCTTTCTACTTACTGGCAGGGGCTCCTTGAAAACACTTCTCGGTTCTATCCCGAAGTGTTTACAAAGTAGCGTATTTGTCAAAACGATGACCCATTTGAATTGCCGCAGCTGCTGAGTCGCAGGTTTGTGAGTATCTTTTTCCGTGCCCATCGCGTCGCGTGGGCCTTGAGACAAACAGTCCCGAACATATACTGTCCTAGCGACGGATGTGGCATTGCTACACACCCCGGGCGGAGCTCTGACCAGAGGTGGCACTGCTATGAACCTATGGCCAGAGCCTGTGCGCACTGACTGTGGCAATCTAAACGCTCGCACGGCGGCGGCGGCCAGAGCCCGGCGGAAACCGTGACACGCACAAGGGGTACTCCGTGCCACACCAACGCGTTGCTATGCCATACCTCACGCACCACACAGCGCGGCAACAACGAAAATGTTACGCATTTCGCCTGGGAGGCTGTCCTGCCAGCGTGGCCGAAATCATGGCCACGGCTGTTCTCCTCAGCGCTGGCGAAGATATGCCGCCCTACGCTATGCCCACACTCCGCGCAGCACAGCACCGCACAAGCCTATGCACTTTGGCTGGTTTTGCTGAGGCCCCAGGGCCTCCGGCCGGGTTGACGTCACCGCGCTATCCGGAGCTCCCCCGATTCACGAGGGGGAGAGAGGGGGGGAAACCAGCCCCAGGGGGGAGAGAGGGGGCGGGGACGTCGACCTGGAACCGGCGAAGCATCGCCCAGAGATCGGCGATAGGCTCGCGAGCGCGAATCCGACGCACCTGGATAGCGCCATCGCTCCGCTCTCCAACGGCCGTTCGAAACGATCCGGGCACCCCTGGAACGACCCCGGCGAAGCGCAACTGCTTCAATGCACTCCGAGGC